GCCTGGCCTAGGGAGGATTTTTAAACTGGGTTTTTTAGAAATTTTAATTATCACAACATAAAAATTTTGGTTTTAATTTGGTTTTATTCGGTGGGGTGTGTGGGTCTTTCTTTGTTTTAATAATGTTGTGAGCCGCCCTGAGTCCTTCGGGAGAAGGGCGGGATATAAATTGAAATAATAAATAAATAAATAAATAAAACACATAACTAATGCACAGCTCTTGAATTGTGTTAATGTGAGAATACTAAAACAAGTCCATTAAATTATTCTATTTTATGCAATGATAAATGTATTTGAGTGAAAAGTAATATAATTAAATTGAATATGAACCATAGTAGGTGAGCTTTCTGAGATACCTAAACTGTGATTTAATAGTTTAAACAGCATAGAGGTGATTCAACAACAGGTAAAACTAATGTGACATTCTTTTCAGTTTTGTTTGATTAAAAAAAGTCAACATGCTAAAATAATCCTGAGGAGACAAAAATATTTTTTTTTAAATGGCTATTTCTTAACACCGATCTAGCAACAAGGCTATTTGATTTTTGGAGTATGTTCTAAAATAGTATTTCAGCGAGTGCAAGACATAAATTTAGTATTTTTGCTGAAGCTCTTCAAAGCAGATACATGTTTTCCCAGGATCACATGGCAACTGCAGAAAGCAGTCATGGGAAAGACATGGCTGCTTTAAAAATTGCAAACAGATACTATATTTTCTCCCTCAAGAAATCTGAATCAACCTTTGGAACTGAATCTGAACAGTGGCACAGTCCAATTACTCAAATAGTATGAAGCCATATTACATTTTAAGTTTATTGTAGATATTAAAAAAGCTGAATGTACAAATCAGCTCCTACATAACTTTATACAGTGTGTTCAAACAGATGTAAACAGTTCTGGGTCTATTGGTAAGGCAGAATGAATCCTTTGCCTTGGGTAACTAATTGTGGCCACTTCCTGAAAACTGTCATTTTAATTCATCTGCTCAAAGCTACCACCTACCCAACCCCATTCTCAGAGTGATGCATGCAAGGGAAGTGACCATAGATGACTGTAGTGTTGCTAACAGAGAGGTATTACAGGTTTCTCAATGTGACATATCAGTCAGGAAAGGCAACGAAGCAACCAGAAACAATAGTAAGTGCTGCCACTTCCACAGTGAGGTCATAGCCTAAAGCAGGGGTGCCAAACTCGCAACGACACATGACATGTCGGGATGTATCACAACTTTTTTTTTCATTGCCGGCAATGGGATGGGTGCAGTTTTGGCATGATGCATCCGGCCCGCAGGCCGACAGTTTGACACCCCTGGCCAAAAGTATTTGCTCAGATTCCTTAGGTGCAATTATGTAGAAAAATAGGGTACACAGCTGCTATGGCTGTGCTAAGAGGTGTATTACATCTTTCCCACAGTGTTATCATAAATGATATCAAATATAATTTCTTCTGTCTTCCTAATCCTGATCCTTCCCATTTTTTCCAACATCAAGTCAGGTCCTTGGCCTAAAATAGTTTCACATCTCTGCTGGGGGAGGGGGGCAAAGTTGAAATCATCTTCTATTGGATTTATGATATTCATCCAGTGAAAAGGTTTTCCTTTTTACAAGACTTTCCCCATCTCACCTGGAATTATGAAATAATCAAATCTCTTTTTCTTAAGCAGAAACCACCCAACCCCTACTCACAAAAAAACTCCTCTGACAGTTTCATTCATAAATAAATGAATCTCTTCGCTGAACCCAAATAAGATAAATCTCTTCGCTGAACCCAAATAAGTAAATATACACATAATTTTGGAGAAAAGCAAAGCACCTCTGACTTACGCCAATAAAAAAAATACCAAGATACTTTTTACTTTTAATATTTCAGCCTAACACAACTTCTGTTAACGTTTAACTTTTGTAACCCAAGCCTAGCTATCAGACAAGGAGATGAAAAAAGGAACAGCCGCTAGATGTAGCCTGGAGAATGCTAGTTGGCCATCAAGATGGTTGATCGTCAATGGATCTAACGTTCAGCCACTAAGGCAGGGGTAGTCAACCTTGGCTCTTTTATGACTCGTGGACTTCAATTCCCAGAATTCCTGAGCCAGCTTAGCTGGCTCAGGAATTCTGGGAGTTGAAGTCCACGAGTCATAAAAGAGCCAAGGTTGACTACCCCTGCACTAAGGAAACATTCCCACAAAAAAACTATCTGCAGTTGGCCTCACATCCTGAAGAAATAATACAAAAAGCATGCTTAGGAGTAATGAGTTCCAGTGCTGACCTTCCATAATGTGTTCACTTTCCAAGAGGCAGGTATAAGTATGAATGTCGTTTTCTACATCAAGGAAGCAGGCAAGCAATGAAGAGAAATGTTAATAAAAAGAAATACAGAAGGTTTAAAATGAAGGTTCAATGTATAGCCATAAAAATTAAACAGATAGGATCAAGTCATTTGGGAAGATATACAGAAAGCTACAGACCAGAAATGGGTATGAATGCAATTTAATCCAGTGACAGAATACTTGAAACCCTGGTCTCAGATTTTACTATTCTTTTTCCCTGAATTCTCACCACCGCATTTTTATATAATCTAGTTTTAATGGTTTAAAGGTCAGCAAAATCTTGTATTTTTCAGAACCGGCATTAATGAAATAATTCTTATATAGTAGTTACTTTTGTGACTAACACAATATTAAGGAAAAATAAAAAATGAGCTATTGAAATCCAAAATTTTCTTAAAACTATGTGCTTTAATAATGGGCTGGTGTAATATTTGTTCATAATACAGTTCCACATTACTTTCAAATGTACAAATAGAAATATTTTTAAATTACATTCTACAAACAATTATGCATATAACTAGACTCTCAATTATTCTAAGTAATTGAACACAACAGGTTTTACACTGATTTGTTTAATTACCAGTCACATCTTTAGGAAGTCATTCTGTTAATACCAGCTAAAAGTAATTCTTAGACATTTCAAAAATAATTTAGAGTATCTGATTTGCAGCATGCTCCGCATCATGTTTCTTATTTTGAGTTTATTTTGAATTAATATTTCTGAGTATCAAGCCAGTATAAATCTTTTTTGCTAGGTTAATGAAGTGAGAAACAAGTCCTAATTACATGCTTACATCTGTGGCAGAGGCTACTATCTAAAATAAATATTTTATTATTTACAAAAAAGTGTAAATACTAGTAAATTGGAAGTTCAAAGTCTCATTCCTACTGTAAACAAGTTCCACTTCAGATAAATAAATATTATTTTGTTTCAAACAGTAAAGATTTCTGAAATGGAATCAGCAACAAAATCAAAAAGATTAGTACAAGGGGAAAATTCTAAAATGCTTTTATAAAAAGCTATGCTTATAAGCTTCCTAAAAGTAAGGTACTCAATTTTTTAGGCTTGAGGTTCTTTTGGACAGTGTCACCAATATGCTGATGATATTCAGCTATATATCTTTGTTCCAGGTGAAGTGAGTGATGCAGTGGATGGCTTTTTGTGGTGCCTGGAGGCTGTGGGGGGTCTGGACGAGAAATAATAGACTTCAACTGAACCCTGATAAGAAGGGATGGCTGTGGGTGGGATCCTCTGTATCCAGGAATTTATCATCTTTGGTCCTGGATGAGGTTGCACTACCCCAGACAGTCCCGGTGTGTAACTTGGAGAACCTCTTGGACTCACGCCTCCTGCTGCATTGTGTGCCAGTTATGCCCCTTCTTGGACAGGGAGGCCTACCATTCTGTCATTCTCCCAATTGGTCTATTGCAACCCACTCTGCCTGGGGCTACCTTTGAAAAGTTTCTGGAAGCTTCAACAGTGCAGAATCGGCTGTGCAAACCATACTGGGTGCCCAAAGAAGGGCACATATAACACCTTTGCTCCACAAACTGCATTAGGTACCAGTTTGCTTCCTGGTCCAATTCTTGGTATTGATCATCACCTATAAAATCCTACATGGCGAAGGGCCAAGCTACCTACGGAGCTGGCTTCATCCCATTACATCAGCCCATCCCACTCATTCAGGCAAGGAAAGTACGCTGCAGTCAAAGAATTTTGACAGGCAGGGTCTACAGGACGGCCTTCTGTGCCACTACCCTACACTGTGGAACACCCTGCCTTCAGAGATGAGGAAAGCCCCCAATCTCTTGGCGTTTCTCAAAGGAGTCAAAACTTGGCTAACCAGCCTTACATGGGGGACACAGAGGTCCATACAACTGTGTAGCTGGCTGGCCCCTTGAGAATTTCCCCCACCTGTATTAACAATTGCTAAGCCCTCATCTTGGAATTTTTCACCTTCTGAAATTTTATATTTTTTTATAATTTTAAACCTTTTAAATTTTAAATTAATTCTGATTGTTAAAATTTTATTCATTATATTGTACACCGCCTAGAGCCCCTCTGAGAGAGATGGGTGGTTAAGAAATACAATAAATAAATATTTGCAAGCTCTAGTATGATAGCAATAAGTATTATCTGACAGTTAATATATTCAACAATACTTTCATTGTGCACAAATGTGATACATGCAATAATTATACTTAATTATATAAAAATCTTGTCCATTAGCATATGTATTAATCGGAAAGTGCAAAAGCTACTAATATTCTAAACTGAACTAAAATAGAGGTGTCTAAGCAATCACATTCTTTTAAAAAAATTCCTACAGACTATGTATACTGTGTGGCCCTGTAATTGCTCACTATTGTATTAACAATTGTAAGTTCATTATATCACAACATTCTCAGACTGAATGTTTCTGAACTATTGCTATCTAAATAACCACCACCACCCCTCCTTCATAATACTAAAATGATTCCTGAAGAAATGCAGCCAGTTCCCATTTTTACTTATTTGATTGTATCATACATTTTCTACAGAGGTTCACAAATCTTTTTTTTTTCTATTTTTCTCCTCCACAACAATTATCCTGTGTGGTAGGTTGGGCTAAGAGAGAGTGACCGGCCCGAGGACACCCAAATAACTTCTCTTGCTGAGGCATATTTGAAGCAAGACTGTTCGATCCTGGTGCAGCAGGCCATCATGATTTTTATTCTATATTTCATATAAGATATGTATTCCAGAAGAAAAGAACTCAGAGACAAATATGTTGCAGAATGCTTGCCATTAAGAAGCAATCTAAGAAAATATCCCAAAAAGTTAACTATTAATATGAATAGAATTCTAGGAAGATTTGACAAGAAAGACACTAGGTAAAGAAAACTGGATAAAATAATAGACATTTGAAAGGCAAAGTTAAAAAATGGCAATAGAAAAAGACTAAAGAGAAGCAATGAGGAAATATGTACCACTAGTAAGGAATCAGGTAGGGAAGAGAGAAGCAATGTATTGTGTTGCCTGACCTGGAATACAGATACTGATAGAGGAATTCTCTAAATTATGGTTTCAATCACACAAACACTATAATCTGGAAGGCTTAAACTATGAAGAGCAAAACCCAGTGATCTGAGCTGCAGGTTTCTAGTTACTATTTATGCTTAATAAACAAATTACCTCCAGGAGTAAATCCTTCAGTAAGAATTTGGACTGTGGAAATATGTGAAATTTCTATTTCATAATGGCTTTCTCCATCCAAAAACAGATATCTGCACAAAGAGAGAAACAATGATGTTCATTTCATGTATATTTAGTAATTCTTACAATACTAAGTCCCATACTAGAAAATAAATCATTTATATAATTATAAGACTTTACATTTGTTAAAAAATTTCTTACTCATTATTGGTAGTACCTATGTTTTGTTGTATCACTTCATAATAGTTTGAAGTGTTTTATCATTTTAAAAAAACAGCAATATACTAAAACTGGTTCACACACACACACACACACACAATTCATTCTCAAACAAAATTTTTGAAAGTGTTTCTAACATAGGAAAAGCTATCCAAGGAAACCTCCTCCTAAATTCTGTCATCACTTCTATACTTGTAAACAAATTACTATATGTCATAACAACGACCTCCTTAAAGCTTTATAAAATAATGAAAGAAAGGTATTGATTTTCCCAACTTGCTAAAGGAGATTAATCTATTGATATGAGTTGAAAAATATCTTTCTGAAATATTAAAATGTATTCCTCCAGTAAGATCATGCTTATACAATAACCAATACCAGAAAATTAATAAGGTGCACTAGACTACTTATTAAATTATAAAAAAAACAAAAAATAATACATACCACAGCCAAAAGCTTCAAAAATGGAAACTGAAAAAGTATCAATTTTCTGCTAAGAGCAAGTCAAAGCAATATTGCTCAGATGACACTTTGGAAATAACAGCTGGGATGTTTCTTAGGTAATTCTTCAAAATGTTAAGACAAAATATGTAACAAAGATAATATTTTTCAGAAAAAGATTTCAACTGATTCAATTCGCACTAGCAAACACTTCACTCTTCTTACCTCTGGTTGTTGGAAAGTCGACAAACCATCATTTCTGTTGTTTCTGATGTCCCTGGAGTTACGAAGAATGTAGCACCTAAAAATTGCACAAATGGAAGAAAAGGAATTAAAAGATACATTTTTAAAAATACAATAAAATTAAAACAAGCTTAAATGTGCAATTCTCAATCTTATTATACAGAGTTAATGTTTATTAACCTTTCTCAGAACTTTTGTTATTAAGAGGAAAGAAATTGGGCATATATAGATTATTCCTATTATAATGGGACAGAGGTTTCTCATTTTTCATTCTGGAATCCAAACATGTACTTATACCAAAAAATTCCAAGCTGAAGCTCCAAAATTTATGCAGACCCCAACCCTTCAGTACATTTCCCTAAGACCTGCAAGTATTGTTACTGAAGTGTAATCACTAAAGGGAAAATTAATATACAATGACTAAACTTGTACTGATATTATCCAAATTTAACAAAATCAGATATAGTTTCTGCCTTCTACTATCCACTACTGCCCTCAATATACCACTTAATGGCCAACCATAATTTTTGGTTCAAATTTCACAATCCTGTTTTATGTCATTTATTTATTACTATTATTAAGTGTATCACCCAAAACAAACTCTTATATATTGTCTTTTAGCAAGTCAAATAAGAATCTATATTCAATACTTACCATTCATAAGCACTTTGAGTTGCCTGTCATAGAACTCCATTTCTTTCTGAGAAATGAGCCCACATTCAGCACACTGGCGTACAGGATCAACAAAGTACATACGAGGCAGAGGCACTTTCTTGCTGCAGCATTTATCACAAAAGCACTTTCCACATCTCCTGCAATGATGCTGGAATGGAGGAGAGAGAGAGAGAGAAAGAGAGAGGGATTAACCAAAATTGGATCATTACATTTAAAATATTTGATTCTGATCTATTGCAAATTCTATCAGGCAGTTAGAATACTGCAGCAGAAGTACAAGGAGTATAAAGAGATAAAATCCTGATAGGCCGTGTTTAAAAAAACACCAGAATGTTTGCAAAAACAAATTGAGAAAAATGTCTGAAAAGCTGTCTTTGCAGATCACATTGCACTACTTCCTTAGTTTCCATGGAAGTCTAGCAATCAGTCCATGAAAATGCAGAGTACAATAAGC